TTTGAACTTTAAGATATTATTCAATGTAATATTTGACTGTTGTGTTTAAAGAATTTAAAATATAATTAACATTTGAGTATGATCATACTTATGAGTTATTTTAATATATCATTGTTATTCTTATACCATTATTTTAAATCTTATATATCTGTTTCATTAGTCTCTACTAATTTTAGTTGATTACTAAATCTATTTTTTAAATAGACCATCTTATTTCTAGATATTTAGGTTTATTTTTATCAAAAAATTTAGTGAAGATATTTAAGGAGTGAAGGTTACTAGGATACACCTAAAATATATCTATCTTAATCCTATATATATATATATATATATATATTAGCTAGCTTAGCTAGTTATAATTGTTTGCTCATGTTATAGTTTTGCTCATCAATCAATTCTTATTCTTAAAAGAATTCAGCCTAATAATATTGACAAATAATACTATTCAAAATTATAAGAGAAAATAGTTTACATGAACTCAATCACTCACAAAGATAGTTTAATTTTAAGCATGGTGATAAAGTTATTAAATTCGTTGTACTTGTCATAATCCATTTTTGTTCTAGAAATTTTAAGTATAATAGTTTTTTATCCATGGTACCCAAGTCCTTGGGTTCGAGAAGAGTTATTCATCTATAAATTCCAGTCATACTACAGAAAGTTCACATGATGATTTACATTCATTATAGCTTTATAGGTCAACTAGAACAACTAGGTTGCCTTCTTATCTTTAAGATTTTTTATTGTAATTCTAGTTTTTTTTTATAAAGATTAAAAATGTTGATAAGAAGGTATATTCTTTGACTACTTGTGTAGGTTATAATAACTTATCTAATTCTCAGAAAGCATTTATTGAGATTGTTTCTTCTAAAGATGAACCTTTATTTATCATCAAGAAATACATTTTCAACATTAGAATGAGGCAATGAATGAAGAATCAAAAGCCATAGAAGCTAATCAAACCTAATCAATTGTGCTTTTACCATCCAAGACGCATTTAATAGACTGTTGATGGGTGTACAATATTAAGTACAAAGCCTCGAGTTAATTTAGAGATACAAAATCATATTAATTGCAAAATACTATACTCAATAAGAAGGTATTGGTTTTACGAAAATATTTTATTCTATAACTAAGCTAATAACTGTTGAGATATTACTTGTATTAACAGTCATACAAAAATGGTGTTTAGCATAATTTGATGTTAATATTGCCTTCGTAAATGTTCGAAGAAGTGTACATGCACCTTTCTCTAGGAGATAGGAGAAAGGGGGAGAGTTATCAAAATTCCACCAAAATGGTATATGAGCTTCACAAGTCCATTTATGGACTCAAGAAAGCCTCTAGACAATGACTCAAAGCTGACATAATCTCTAATGAAATTTGATTTTCAACAATTAAAATCTAATTATTTTCTCTTTATTTGAGGCAATAGTCCTTCATATGTTGTTGTGGTTATATACGTTGATGACGTTATTGTTGCTGGATCTTCTTTAGATCATATTCAATCAATCAAAGCTTTTTTACATTCTTAATTCAAAACTAAAGATCTAGAACTTATGAAGTATTTTTCCGGGTTCGAGGTACTATGAACTACTAAAGGTATTACTCTCTCTCAAAGGCATTATATTCTCCAACTATTGGAAGATATTGATATGTTGGCTACTAAACATGTTATTTTACCTATGGATCATAAAGCAGCTCCTAACAGTTTTGATGGTGAACTATTAGAGGATCAGTCTCAATTTAGACGCTTAATTGGCATATTATTACATTTCTCTTTATCTAGACCCAATATAACATCTGTGGTGCACAAGCTAAGTAGTTTGTCTTTGCACATCTACGAGATGTCTTCTATCTATTATGATTATTAAAAGATAGACTAGGTCATGGCATTTTTGTTTCGCATATCCATCATTAAAATTTCAAAACTTTTTAGATTTAGACTGAGCATCATATTTTGGTTCTAAAATATCAGTCACCGTTTTTATGTACTTTTGAGTAAATCTACAGTCCCATAGAAGTCCAAGAAGCAAATCATTATTTCAAGGTCTTCAACAAACGCATAATACAAGATAATTGTTGTTGCCATGTCTGATTGCTATGGATTCAATAATTGTTGGCTGATTTTGGCTTCAAATCCAATAGTCCAACTAATCTACTTTATGATAATCAAGTTGCGGTCCATATTGACTTTAATCTTATTTTTCATGAACACACCAAATATATTAAAATTTGTTGTCATTTTATTTGTAATCATCTTATGTATGATGCCATTAAGCTCTTGTTCGTTCAACCTCAACACAGTTAGTTGATCTTTTTACCAAACTTGTTTTCTCTCCTTTGTTCTTTCAATTGTTATTCAAGATGACCATTCACGATGTTTTAGATCCATTTTGAGGGGGAATATTAGTGTTAACTAGTTAGTTATTTTAGTTAGTCATTAATTAATTATTAAACTAACTTTTCTCTTAAATACTTTTAAATATAATGTATATAATCGGAGAAGTTAATAGTACCAAAACATTTTTCCAAATTGTACAAATTTTACTTTGCAGAAGCAAAAGTTGGAGCTCTTTATCTAGGAAAATAAAAATTAATTAAGGGATAAAAAGAGGTTCTTGGATACTATTAGCTTTGAATTCCAAAAAAAAAAAAAACATCATTGATGGATAAAAAATTAATTAAAATAAAATAAATTTTCTCTTATCTGAAAGTTGTTTGGGAGTTTGAGCTTAATTAGTCGGATAAAGTATGTTGAAATAATTATCTCTTTATATGCTTATGACTTGTCATCATGCATAAAAGTGATCACTCTCTGCGGTTCTTTCCCCTCCTTAATTAGTTTCTTGTTCTCAAGCCATTATTATTTAGAACTCATATTTAAGTACGTATACTAAATACCAGAAAAATCGTATCGGACGAGGGATATATATTTATGTATATGTCATATATTTGATTTTCATTTAGAATTCCATAAAATCTCATTTTGTAACTTTGACTTGTTAATTTATTTATTTTTAATCAAATTTTTCTATCAAGCTTTTGTTTTGTAAGATCACTTAGGTAAATCAACTTCTTCGTTAATCATATATGTTAAAAGCAATTTGTAATTTGAACAAAAAAGAGAAAAATTAAAGTCTGCAAAATAAAGAATCCAAATTGATGGTAACGAGGCTGTGAAAAAGAAGAGAGATGGTGGTAGGAAAAGAAGAAGAATCTAGGGAAGTCTTCGGACGGTGAGAGAAGAAGATGAAGGCAGATCTTGGCGGTCATGTTGGCATATATATGTGTAAGTGTAAGGTGTGAGGTGTATGTATATGTGTATCGATAAATAAATATATAAAAAAAAAAGGAACAAAAACAAAGAAGGAAAACCCAAAACAGGTGCATGAGGAACAACAGAAAAACAAAAAGACTGCATGGACTACCCTTTTACTAATTAAAAGCTCCTTCCACCGCTACAACTTTTTCTTTCTTTTTTAACCATATACAAGCTATATATATACATACATATATATATATATATATATACTGGTTAATTAATTGTTTACAGAGATTTTCTTTTCTTGATAAATATATTTATTTCGCAGGATATATGCGTGGGAAATTCGAAGAGACATCTGGTTTTAGTCACCTCTCAACTGGTTGCCTAATTAGACTTTCCTCTAGTTAATAGAAAGAGTAATTCCAAAGACGAGGTGGTTCAACAATTCAACTTGCTCTGTGCATATCTCCCTCCAGGAAAAGTCTGTGTGGTCCTCCCTCTCCAGTGGATGTTTCAAAGCAGCTGATGAATATGTACATATATATACTGGTCCCTCCCCTATATATATATATATATACACACATAAAATAGCTTCTTAATTTCTTCAAGTACCTATCATGCACATCAAGTGTACACCACAACTTTTGAAGCTCATCAAATGGACTGGTATTTGTCTTGGTAGATTTCATTGTTGTCCTAGATCTAATTTTTTTTTTCTTTCTCCTTGTGATAAATATAAGCCATCCCTTTCCTGTCAATTATGTATTCATACCCACAAATTATTCTTGAATAATAGCTTTTCTAATGCGAGATTCACATGTACTCAGTGAATTAGTCTTGGTGAGCTAAATTACACTACTACCGCATTACCGTTTAATGATTCTAATCATAATAACTTAGTTTGGCAATTTAGCACGTGTATATATATATATATATTATGAATTAAACACTGTATAAATAATTGGTTGAGTCACTATTTTTTATTAACTTCAAATTTTAAATAATTCTTTAATAAAAATTCATATATTTCATTAATTACATCACATATATATTTAATAACAATGGAATCAACTTTTTAATAATGACATACACAAACATAAATAACCTAAGTCTCTATTTATATTCTCATTGATATGGGTGGAAATACCAGCATGCTTGTTCTTGTTTATAAGAAGGTATCCTCATCACTCTTATGTACTGCTTTATGTATATATACATACATATATACATATATACATAATATAATATAATACAACTGATGAGAAAATATGGTACAAATTAGAATTAGCTGGTCATGCTTTCGGTATCTGCTCACATGAACATCATTACTATGTGTATATATACATATATATATATATATGTGTATATATGCATAGTACTATAGACACGCATTCATCAACCCATGTGATAGGGCTTCATTCACATAGCTTTTCGTAGTTGTCGATAAAGCATGCCTCACCACTTTTCAAAATGTGCAGTATGGTCCCCAGTTGTAGTAATAGCTAGGTTTTTGTTTCTTTAGACGAATTATACATTTAACTTATTCATTAACTTGTTCATTACAACTATATAAGCAAATGTATTAACGTTCTCAAGGAATTGACTGTCTTGGCCCTTATTAATGGGGAACTAATTAAACCCCAGTAATTAATTTCATCAAAGCAATGATTGCTCAATATGCATGACTTGGGAAATGATAAGATATGGACTAGCACATTTATTTGACCGATAGCGAGAATTGCCATGTGGCAGCACCAATACCATTGCTTTTTTTATTCAATTCTTCCATGGAGGATGGTCGGTTGAATTCCGGCATCTCCTTTTCTTACTACGGCTCAACTTCTTCAGCAAGTTCTATTATCCTGCTTTCCATGCTCAATTTAACCTAGTTTGACACATATATATATACAAGTATTATATTATATTTATGCAGGTTCTCTTTTGAGTTAAATACACAATTCAGAAGGTGCAGCAGCAGACCAAGATTTTATTTTCTTCATCCACAGTATGAGTACAATCAAGCACAAAAACCCATTGAAGATGCTTTGATTTTATGTAAGTTCATCTCATCCCAAATATTTTTTAGTAAAACAGACTACTTTGATTTGGACCAAGACCATTAAATATAGAATACAATCCTTCTCCTTAAATATACCTAGATACTGTATATTATCATCAATTACTTCGCCCAATTGAATTCTCTTGCTTTTAACTTGGGAGTTTTGACGACAGATTTCGCGTAGCAGCCCTAAAATTCTTGTCCAATATTCTTCATGAGCTATATATAGAGGTCACTTATATAAGAATCCTATGAATTACATATCACCTAGCTTTCTTTGAGTTAATTTATGTATAAATTTACATGTTATTCGCTACCTGTCTCTATTTGGGTAGATCGCCTTTCAGAAATTTCTTTAACTAGAACCCACCATTTTTCTAGGAACAAGAACGATCTTTTCTGCATATTAATATATTCTTCATCTTTCTTAAGCAAGTCTGTTTTCGATTTATCCTTCTTTGGCTTTTTTGGACAAGCAGATGACTGAGGAAAAGCTAAATCAAGGAAAGATTTTGTTCGAAAATTTATCTGGTAAAGAGAGAAGATTGAGCAAACCGAGTGGATAAAATTCTCTCTTGTTCATCAGAATGAGAGACATAAAATGATTGCAACTTCTAAAGAAACCGATTCTTCCACAAACCAAGAAGGAAATACAAATGATGGAAAAGTAACTAAGGCATCCTCTAGTTCATCACCATGGTTGAGGTTGAAGGATCCGAGAATTGTTCGTGTCTCTCGGGCTTTTGGGGGTAAAGATAGACACAGCAAAGTTTGTACTATCCGTGGACTAAGGGACAGGCGTGTGAGGCTTTCGGTACCGACTGCTATTCAATTGTATGATCTTCAAGATAGGCTAGGACTTAATCAGCCGAGCAAAGTTGTTGATTGGTTGCTTAATGCAGCTAAGCATGAAATTGATGAGCTTCCTCCGCTTCCAGTTCCCCCAGAAAGCTTTGGCCTAAATCATCAAGCAATGCTCCTTTCTCATCATGAACTTGGCACTTCCCAATCGAATAAAGAAGGATCCAAAATGAGCAACAATGTCAATTGGGAAGATCCTGGAGGGTTAATTCCCAGGTCAAGTTTTTGGAACTCTGATTCTTTTTGGCGGTCTAAGTCCAAAGAAGCTTTGAAGGAGGACACAACAAGTGAAAAGGAAAATTGGACGAAAAGAAATGAAGAGGAAAAAGAAGAAAGCAGTGAAGGTCATCACGATCATGGAGAAGTTTCAACAAACAATTTCTTAAATAGAGGCAACCAAAATTCGTTACCAGGTTTACTCAACAATAATGCCGTGCCATATGGTTCATACTACCATTTCGAACCTTCAAATTTTCCTGTATCTCATTTAGGAAGCCATGGATTTACATCCCAACAAACAGAAGATCATCATCATCATCATCTACACAACTCTCATGTTGCACCATTTCTTCCATCCACACTTTCCCTATCATCTGGGTCTCAAATTTTGGTATGTCCACCTGGAACAACAACACAGACTTTGTTCCCTTCTCATGGTGCAGCTTCTGTTGAGATTGATCCAAGGCAATTGAACCAATTTCAGATGGTGAACAGTGCAGCTTCACAAAACTTATTAACAAATTCAATGTCCCCACTGCCATACTCTTTGAACCAATCAATGAGACCTTTCCACTTCAATATGACACATAGGTTTCTTCATTCAGACACCAGCAGAGGAAGTACTCAGGCTGAGAAGGAGCAAGAATATCCTCCCAAATGATATGAAATGCAAGAATGGTTTGAAATGAAAAAGAATTTTTCTGAGAGAGGAAGAAGGGAGGAGGAGGAAGAGGAAACCAAAACGGCCTCTCCTTCAAACTAATTGAAAAGGCATTGCATGCTGGATTGTGCTAATTCTGGGCTCAAGAAAGAAAAAGGTAACCCTCAATTTTTTTTTTTTTACTCAATGACATTGGATTGGCATCCTACATTTCCTTAGTGTGGTGCAGATATTTGGCTTAAGCTGTGATGATCAAATTATTATTTTATCATGTTTGGGTTTTTTCTTTTTTTCTCTTTTTTGCTTCAATTGAGTGACTATATGGAGTGACTATGAAGTTCATTTTTCAAACTTGAATATTAGAAAGAAAAAAAAAAAAAAAAGAAAATTAAGAGGTTGTGTGATGTTAAGTATTAATGTTTTACTGCCAGTGATCATATAAATACAGCATAAAGTTCTTACAATTAATGTTTAGCAGTTGACCTGACTGCAGTGGAGAACTGGAGGTAAGCTGTTTGTACAGTGGAAGTGCAATGAGTTGTGATTAATTATGACACTTGCATGTGGCATCTATTCTATTAATTATGACACTTACAAATATTTTAAGATAGATATAATCTACCCATTTCTTAGTTAAATTATGGTTATATGAGAATTTAAAATTTTTTAATTAATTATTTATTTTGTATGTTCTAAGTAAGACATTATATTATAATTATATAGTTTTTACGAAATTTTCACTAAAAAAAAAGGGAAAGAGATAACTAAAGTTCTTCATCACCAATCTAATTCATTGGCTTTTTTTTTTTTTTTTTTTCTCGTTAAACCAGAATGTGTTTGTGTGGAAACTAATTTACTTCTTCAAGTTTTCCCCAAGATTGGGTCATATTGACTAAATTATACAAATCTATTGAGCCCTTTATGTTTTTAGATTGGTTAATTACTTCTTTATTTGTCTATTGTCAACCAGCTATATATATGCATAGTATATAAGTCATGTATGTATATTTGTTTATTATCATACAGCTTAGATGAAGTTTAAGGAGCTGATGAGAATGTAGAGACAAAAGCATTCTAGAAAAAACAAATGACTTATAATTGAAAGATTTTTGGCATGTTAATGAACAAGTCTTATTAATATAGAATCCATTCAAAGCTCTGTCAAATATATTGAAAAGCATATATATAGTTTTGTGGTCCTTATAATTACTCATTTGAGACAAGAGAGAGATAAATCAAGAAATGATAAATAGGGTTTGCAGATGTATTGATCATCTTGTTCTTCTAGAAAAAATGCCCAAACATCTTTGACGTTAGGACCCATAAACAGAATCGTTTGTCTTTTCAAAATGCATATACATATATATATATATATATACTTAGTCTTGTCTGCTACAGTGTTGCTTTTTTTCTGCTGCTTAGGGTTCCATACACACATGCACGTACATATATATCGGGATTGGAGAAGCTGAGGCACTTCTTAAAGCAAAAGAATAATAAGTAACTGCTAATTTATTTCTGTTGCTTCCATTATTATAAATATTCAGGTCATGCAAAATTCAGAACATATGTTTTCTCCAATTAGTATCGGGATATGCATATGGCTTTCAAAATGGCACATTAAGTAAACATAGACAAAAGTGAAGGAACCATTGAATCACTCAGGTATAGTGCAGTTAATTTTGAAACTTCTGTCTTCATGGCATTGCTAGCAAGAATATAAGGCACTATTCAAGTTTAATTGGGAGAAGCGAAGAGTACATATATATATATATATATATATAGAGAGAGAGAGACACACACACATATATACATACATATAATTCTTTGTTTGTATGTGCATATGCCTTATACCTTTAAAAAATAATATGTATGCCTTATTCTGAAATTTACTTTTAAAAATATGTATTTGTATTCAAATATAAATATATATATTTTGGCGTAGTTGTGATTTCATATAACCTAAATAGTTCTCCGTGATCTCTCATTTATAATTTTGCAAAGTATTCTTGCTAGTTCCTAAATTCTTTTTTTTTTTTTTTTGTCTTTTCAAATAACTTATAAATTTATAGAGTATAATCAGTGACCAATAAACATAAAAAATAAAATTGAAGAGTTGTGATTATATTTTAGAAGGCAATACATTCAGTAAAAATGTGAATTTCATAAATTATTAAGAGAAAATCACATGGAGAATACTATCACATATTAATTTATATTTAGCTTTAATTTGATATGTACAAGAACATATCCATTATTACTAGTCCTCATATATACATGCTACACGCGTTTTTTTTTTATTTTTTTAAATATAAAACACATGAATCTATTAGGACCTGTACACATGTTGAATTGTCATTTTTGTAATGTACTTATATTAATTTATTTCTTGTTCAATTTTTAATCACAGGGTCTTATTCTAACTTTTATATTAGTCTTATTATATATAATGAGTCGTAATTTATTATGCGTAAGTTATCATCGTGCGACTTCACAATTCTTTAATAATAAAAATTCAGTTTTTATATTTACAAAGTACGGATAAAATTTAAACTATTAAAGAATTCACAATAAAAGTTATAATAGTTCAATACTGTAAATTACATTATAATTATATAGTAGAATAATAGAATTTGATGAGTATTTTTAGTGGCTTTTGAAAGTTGAGACTCTGAAAACTGAACACTCTTTCATTAGCACAGATTTCATGAGACTAACAAAAAATAACGAGAAAACTCTAAAATAATTTTGTGAAAGACATAAATTTCTAACTTGAAATTTATTCATAAAAGTTAGGGGGTGAACTACACTCTCCTAATGAAATAGATGGATATTCTTCAATATTTAGAAAAAAAATTTCAAATTAGTACAATAAATTTCTAACTTTACATAATAATATTTCTCAATAAAAAATAAATTAGAATATGATCTTGGTACTATTAAAAATCTTATTTAAAGTGCTATCAAATCTGTTTTAAAATTATACTAAACAATAGTTGTAAGGACATTTTTCGGCACCATAGGACGGGCCAAAAATCATGTCCTAATTTTGTGATGTAATGGCTCCAAAATCAATTTTCTCTCACTACGTCACAAACCCTAGTTAGCGATGATTTTGATATAATAAGAAAGGACTCATGAAGAGTTTTTTAGTAATTTATAGTTTATTGCTTAAATCTATTTAAACAATACACTTATTGTAAAACAAACTAAGAAAAAATTATTTATAAAAAATTATATTCAAAATAATTTAAATCTGAGTATTAAACTTATACCAACGCAAAAATTATACTTAATATTGACCTTAACTTTAGATTTCTATCGGTGAATCCTTGTCTCCTCCTTCATATTTGTCAAGAATATTCTTCAAAACTTATTTAGGAGAAAACTAGGGTTTAATATTTTAAAAAGGTATTTATATTAGTTTATTGATATGGTATTATAAAGAAAGTTTAATACCACGACATCATTTTCTCCTTTCTCTTTTACTTGTTATTTTTATTTTTATATTTTTGTTGTTATTGTTATTATTATTTTTTATAAGGACAACAACAAAATAATAATAATAATAATAAATAAATAAATAATAATTATTATTATATGTATCATGTAAAAAAGAAGAAAAAAAGAGAGGAAAGAGGAAGGACGGGCCTGAAAAAGCCCAGCCCATTTGTTTTTCTTAGACCCAAACCAAGCTGAAACTCAAAAGTGCAAAGTCTTTCCAAAATCCAAAGCCAGCCCAGAATTCAATCTGGTCCACTCCTCAACCGCCTTCTAAAAGCAATGCCGTTTGGAGAAGGGCTCTGTTTCTTCTTCTTTTGGTTCCCAAATCAGCCTACAGAAGCATTGATCAGAATGGTGGTGATATTTCTTTTATTTCTTCTACCTCGTTAACGATGATGGGATCACGACAACCAAAGTAGATATCAGAATGGTGGCGATAGAGCAAAACTGCGGTACATGGTAATGTTGGTGATCGCCAAAACTTGAATAATTATGGGTTGAAGACGATACATGTGCTACCCAGGTGGTGTTGTTTGTCTGTCTCGTGTGAATCTTTCTAGTATGTTTTCATCTTGTTCTATTCAGACATTAGGTGCTTGTTTATGTCTTTATCTGATGAGCATCAGTATACAGGATTAGTAGAAGTCATGATTCAAGAATGTTCGCATGTATTATTCTATGACAGAGTGAATATTTTTCTCAAAAATAATATATATATATGTATATAATTTAATTTAATTTAATAATCTAAAACTAAAACTTATAAAACTATTTTGTTAAATACTAACTACTTAGTGATATAATTATATTAGAAAAACATTAATATAAGCTAAAAAATAATCTTTTATTGTCTTATTTATTTTTAAATGATCTTTTTCTTAAATTAATAATTATTTATAATTTAAAACGTACATATCACAATTTATTTACAAAATATTACAAATATTTTGAGCAAACATCACAATTTAAAAATAATATAATTCGTTGTTTGTGGAAAATGCGGCATGCCACCTGGCTTTTCTGCATTGTCAGTGTTGATGGGGTTATGGATCGGACAGGTGTCAAATGGAAATGACAGATTCAGGCTTTTCTTATGCACAACCCAGTGACCTTAACATTTCCTTTCTTAAATAATCATCTTCTCCCTCTCTTTAGCCTCTATAAGAAGAAGCCCCTACTCTTCCTCTCTCAAATGCGGAACGCCGTTCTTTCCTTATGTATCTCCATGTCATTCATCTCGTCTGAATCGCGAGGTTTAGCGAGGGTTTAATTCAATTTCGACCTCGAAAACATAATCTAATACATGCCCCACACCTCATTGAAGCTCAATTACTTTATACTGCTCTTGTTCCTCGATTAGGGTTTCATCCGCGATTTATATCTACTCGGTGGAGCTCAGTCCTCGGGGTTTTTTCAATCTTGGAAGTTTGTCTTACGATCAAGAACAACCTGCGGTAAGCTTTCAACTACTTTCGACAACATTATCGAGCTGCTTTTCAATTTGAGTTGCCTTTTTGTTCGAAATGTGAGTTTCTAGGGTTTCTTTTGTTTAGTTTATGTGTTAAGTGCTCCATTCGGTTGCTGAGGAGAGTTTGAAGGGAAATTCAACTTTGAATTTTTCCCAGTTTCTGTTTTTGTTATTGGAAGACACAATTTTCGTTATTGGAAATATTTCGAGGTTTTATCCGGTGGTGAATAAAAATATCGAAGTCCCTCGCATTTCTCTCTTTTTAGAAAAAAAAAAAAAAAACAAATAAAATAAACCCACGATCGCATTAGGGATTAACTTATCTTGTTTTGGTTTCTGTTAATGGAAGTTTTTAACATTCGAAAACTTGACTTCTTTTCTAATTCTGTTTAAGCAGCCAAAAGATGCCCGGGCGCTGATCAATGATTTTGTGTAGGCATGCGAGTTTTTGGGGTTTCCTTAAGAAGAATGGTACTCTTGGATGAAGCTACTTCGAGTGAAGAAGTGATATGAGGTTTTGAATATGAGCAATGGGGGTGTGGAGAGTGTAAGAGAACATGAACAACTGCAGGCAAAAAGAAAGTTTAATGAAAATGAATTCCCCCAGGCACTTGCAAGAATTGCTGTAGCCCAAATATGTGAGAGTGCAGGGTTTCAGACTTTCCAACAATCTGCTCTTGAGACATTATCTGACTTAGCAGTGCGGTACATTCAAAACATAGGGAAAAATGCCCATTTCTATGCTAATCTAGCAGGTAGAACAAGTGGTAACATTTTTGACATCATCCAAGGGTTGGAGGACTTGGATTCTGGACAGGGGTTTGCTGGTGCTTCTGATGTCAATCAATGTCTTACCAATTCAGGTGTGGTTAGGGACATCATTCATTATGTTGGTGATGCAGAGGATATTCCGTTTGCTTATTCTCTTCACCATTTCCCAGTTGTAAGAGACTTAAAACGAGCTTCTAGCTTTATGCAGATTGGAAAGGAGCCTCCTGATGGCCACATTCCTGCTTGGCTGCCTGCTTTTCCTGAACCTTGGACAGACGTTCAGTCAGAAAAGGGAAAGGAGAAACTGGTTGATTTTCAGACAGGTAAGATTGAAAAGCCTACACAGCATAGAAAAACAGAAAGGTCTTTGTTGAATTTGCAGCATTTTTCTTTGGGTAGGTTGGAAGGACCTTCCTTGGGAGACAGTAAAGTTTATGCCAAGGAAAAACAGTTAGCAGATGGTAATCCATTTCTTTTGGCACCTCTTCGCTTTGGGGAGAAGGAGGTGTCTTCTGTTACCCCTCCTACTAAGCTTTCCAATGAACCAACAATGAAGAATTATCTTGCTGAAAATCATGTTATCACTAACCATGTTCCGGTGTTGGAGACGTTTGCTCCAGCTATTGAAGCAATGAAGAACAGGTTATGTGATTCTGGGAAACAGCAAAAGGAGCTTTCAATCCGGAGGCCTCTAGTGCAATTCAAGATTGGAATCCCAAATAAGTCCTTACGTACATCACTAGATTTTAGTTCAGAGAATAAGGGCCTCCAGAAGATTGCTTCTTGGTCCGGTAAGGATGATGATAAGAATGACAAGAAAAGGAGGGCTGAGAAAATTCTGAAGGAATCTATGGAGAAAATGCAAGAATTGGCTCAGTTGTAAAGTAGTTTTGATTAGGTTCTGTATACTTTCTTAGATCACTCAGGAGTAGCCGGTTCCAGAGTAGTCAGAGCAAAGACTAATGATTATCTGCATTGCATATGAGCTTGTAGGATGGATGTATGAACTGCCAGAGTGAAATGTTCTCACTTTTAACAAATTTTTGAGGTATGTGCATGCCAGTTGCCATGGTTGACCCTTGTTCATGAATGATTCTTTTTTAATTCAAATTCTTGCTTTTGTTTTTCTTTAACTGTGAATGGATAATCTGAGATTAGAGCTTCAGGTTCCTTCTGAATTTTGCAATCCTCATGTATATGATGTTCTTGTAGGTGAATCTTTGTACAACATTGGTAATTTGTATTATCAATAAACAACATATTACTTATATCCGGTCTGAATTGTATGATTATCAGAGTTTAAAGTAGAGTTGGATAATGAGATCATTTTTTCTGTTCAACTCTAAGCAATTTTCCTAGTTCTTGGAAACTACCTTTTGGCTGTTATATGTGCTTAATCATAGGTGCTTGGCTTCATGAACTAGGTAAATTCTCAGCATAATGGAGTTCGATTGAGGAAAATAATTTTTTAAAGGATTTTTTAAAAAAATCTGTTGGTTAACTCTACAGTTTATACACTTGAATATTTGAAATTTATATATTAAAGGCTGTGAACTATACGTCAAAAAAAGTCCTACTTCTGATTTCCTTTAGTCGAAATACTTTCTGGAATTGGAGAAAACATTACTAGGAAAAACAATGAATTACGGAAAATACAGAATATAATGATATTCTAATTATTTTAGAATGATAATTATATTCTAACAAAATCGTGATGCAAATGAAACTGTGAAATTGTTTTGCATCATCACTTTCATATTTAGGACTCATTAACAATTGGAAATATTTTTGTCCTATGCTCTTTTCTAATTTGTTGTCTGGACCAATATTATGGTTCAACTTTTGAGTATTGGACCCTAAGATTCTTTTGGTTATGTAAATTGTCAAATATTATGTAAATTGTCAAAATCATTTACTATGGCAAGAACTTGCCAAATACTTTGCCTTAGTATTTTCTTTTTTCTTTTTGCTATAAGGTTCTTCACTTGCAGATATTTAATAACTACAGGTATTGGATAATTTTTGTGATAATTTTGCATTGGGTTAAGAATGCATTCAGGATCCCCATTATTTTCATCATAATATTATACCACATATCTTCAACCATATCCATTAATTTGTTTTAGGAATTAAGGTTGGAATTGCATGCAGTATTTAAACTTTTCCAGTACTCGATTTATGGTGCCCACTTTAACTTCTTAAGTCATTTGGTCATTAGCAAAATAGTCAATAAATCCCTTGTGATAATCCTTGATCTAGTCTGAACCTCTACCCCTATGGGGTTCATGCCCACCTGTATGTTCATCATTTCTTTTATAAATGTACAATGTTTTGATTCAGAAACAGGGTAGCTAATGGCATAGGGATTGTATATTACTTTATGTAGATTGAACTAAATAATCCAGTTCTGACAAGTTGCTAAGGTCACCTTCCTCTCAATAAAATATTCTCTTTTCCATAAAAACAACAAAGAAGAGATAAGAAGAATCCAATGTACCTTTTGATATGCTTAGCTATTCAAGATTGAACACAGGAGGTAGACTGTACAGCATTGTAAAATAACTAAAAATGTGCAATCTTCATGCAAGTAATAATGATTGAAATGTCAGAATAGATGTGAACATTGCAGATTTCTTTGAAGATCTTTGCATTATTATGAAATCTTAACAAATAATAACAACCATCTGCCAGGTTCCTTAGACATATACTCCTGTAGAGAAATTAGGTTCAAAGAATTTGGCTTTGGTTTTGAGAAAAAGAAGGATGTGAAGAAGAGAGAATGAGAGACAGAAGAGAGAAACAGAGAGATGAGTTGAGAGAATAATTAAGAATTTCATCTATTCATTCACTGCTGATTCAATATCAGATTTTTTGGTTTTTTTCCAACTACAATCTCTTTTTATCTCTCCATTCGGAGAATGGAGGAATTGCAATTTAATACAACACAGAAATGTCCATAACAGAAAAAGTACAATAGTGGCTAACTACTCTAGATTCCTAGAAACCAATCGACGATTAGCTGAATTAGTTTGGGTAGATACTGCTGACCTGGTTTCCAGATTATTTGGTTACCGTTTTGGGTGGGAGTGTTTCTGTTACAGCTTTAACAGCTTAACTTAATTGTCTGGTGTTGCTTCTGGCAGATGTGGACTTTGGAATTTTATGATCCTTACAACAACCTCCCTTTCCTCATGAAGCTTGTCCCAAGGTTTAAAGTTTGGAAACTTTGTTCATCTTCCCAAGATAGCATAATCTTGCTCCAAGTCCAAGAACTGTTGCAAAACTTGCAACATAATGTTAAGACCTAAAACGAATAATTGTTAAAGTTTATTAGAATTAGTTAATTGTTTGTTTTGATTACTGAAAATTAGCAAAAAATTAGTTGTGATTAGATTGATTTGTGTAATATCATCAACTATAAAAGCTGTAGTTGCAATTGTTTTGCATCCAAGAAAAGATTAATGAAATTTAAAATTTCTTTCTTTACTTCTTCTTTCTCCACAATTTTTCTGTGAAGTTCTTTATTCAAAACTTCTTTCTTTTCCAATGTTTCTCAAATCAGAATCTAGTATCCCGACAAATGGTATCAGAGCAGTCATTTCTTGGAGATTTTTACTGATTCTCTGTCTTCATCTAAACTCTACATTCTTTCTGCTGCTGCTTTCCTCTCTGCATTCCCTATTATTTTCTAATTTTTTCTTTTTTTGCAACCCAGCCTCTAGATTTCAGTATCCTAGCCAAGAACTGGAGTCATGAATGTTACATCGGAGCTCCAAAGTCTAGATACGAGTTTTGATGGAATTGGGATGATTTTAAGATTAAGCCTGCTGAACATAAAGGGAATCATCTCAAATTGTTGAGAGAGCTTCAGCTTGAGAAATAAGTTGCCACACAGGAGAATCAACGTCAGATTGACCAGAGAATTAAGTTGTTGTAGATGGAATTACAATTGTTGAGCAGCAGTCTTTTCCTTCAATCTACATCAGCCCATTTCTTCCTGTTCAATAGAATTTTTAACCTGTGTAATCACCATCAATCAGCTTAAGTCAAAGTTGGAGTACCAACAATGATCGGACCAGAGGATAGGACGACTAGAGACTTCATCAAGTTATTGGCAACGAATCTGCTTTTGCATTTGTTTCTATCGAGTTCACCTATTATCTTCACCTGTGCATTCGACTGACATGGAGCTGGAGATTCCAGATTTACTCTCAAATTCACCTGCAGAAAAGAATCCATCAAATCAAATTCTCTTTATTCTCTTGCCATCATATTCATTCTTAGGGAATCTCAAGCTTGGTGTTTATGGACACATGCAAGCTTCCATTGGCGGAGATGAAATCTGGTGAGGAGTTCGGGAAGAAATTGGAAATCTGTTGAGAAAAATGGTGGGCCATTTAAATGTTAACACAAATGGGTAGCCATTTATTTGAGGGACTGTAGAGACCAAGTGTATGTAAAAATATCCCTGTCAATAAATGGGTTTGCTGGC